GGGGATTCGAACCCGCACCTCAGATTGCGAGTCGAGCACCCTAACCACCTGGCCATGCCGGGCCTGTCACTGTTGTCAAGGTAATTGAATAAATTGTTGAGGAATTCTTCAGGTACCATCACTAGGAATGTTACTTACATTTAATAAGGATATATATTCACTCATCAAATAATTCCTAACTAATTATGTAGACAAGTGATGCCCCCCACTCAAAAGAAAAGAAAGAAAAGCCCAATTAATAGGTACCTTTTAAGAGTTTTCTGAAATCTCGGGGCTGACGTGAACAGATGCTTTATGCTCCTTCTTACTTGACGTCTCTGCTGATAAGGTGTATCTATTGGTTGGTCCAACACTCCTGAAATAAATGTTTAATTCTAGTCTTAAAGGCCAGTTGTGGACGATTGCAACCTATAATTTGACTTTTGTTTCAAAGCTAGACTTCTTTTTATTCATTTTAATTGGATCGGCACACGTTTTAAGCTAGATTTCTTAACCCTAGAAAGTAGAAGCGAATTTTACAAGTGAAAATATTTTATATAAAAGATTTATAATGCACTTGTTTTTTTTATGTTTTTCTATTCTAATTTTACGTAATCTGTTTTAAATACAGTTGTGCATTTGATTAATTACCAATATATTATCGGGTGATGATGGAATGAATAAATATCGTTTATTTGCGATAGGCGCCATGACACTCTAACTACCCTGTTACGAGACTGGCTTCCCAAATGTAAATTAAGTGTATCAAGTTGATTAATCAAAATTTTTGTAATGAAATGAATACATTTGGAAGGAAAATAAATTCAAAATATCTAACTTTCAATATGAAATAAACATAACAAGTTCTTATCCTCACAATAATATTATAAATTAGGCTTGGCGACTAATCTTTTATTAATTAGGTTTAACAACTCACCTTAATTAACTAGGCTTAATAACTAACCTTTAATTAAATTAGGCTTAATAACTAACCTTTAATTAAATTAGGCTTAACAACTAATCTTTAATTAAATTAGGTTTAACAACTAACCTTTAATTAAATTAGGCTTAACAACTAACCTTTAATTAAATTAGGCTTAACAACTAATATTTAATTAAATTAGGCTTAACAACTAATCTTTAATTAAATTAGATTTAACAACTAACCTTTAATTTCTGCAGCGTGAGCAGGTCTAAAATTGATAACTTGATGAAAAATGTTCTCCAATTCTTTAAGTTTTCCAATTCCTCGAGTGCTTTTTTTTTCTACATCTTTCCAACCTAAATAAAAATGAATTTTCTTTGTTGATTATCCTTTCAGTCAATCGAGGTAGTTTTCCTAGTTCTATATGAGACTCGTTCTATCTTATTTCAGCTTATTGTTCAGAGGCGATATCCAATTAACATGCATTTTTAATTCCTATTAAGCTATATTTCCACAAACAACAAGACACAACTTACATGTTCTATTTGCACTAGCCTTCCCCAAATTAGAAGTGATAGACTAAAGGTCAACACCACCTACCGCCAACTCTTGGGCTACTCTTTACCAACGAAAAGTGGGATTGACCGTCGGTATCCCCCACGTTTGAAAAGACAAATATATTCGGTGACAAAATTCGAACCCGCAACCCGCAGATTACGAGTGGAGTGCCTTAATCACCAGGCCACGACAGGCTCTAATAGTATTATACTTTATGGGAGCGTTTTCTTTCTGTTCTCTCCACCTTTAAGAGTTAATTATAAAAATAAATAAAAAATTGACGACACTCATATGGGAGCAACGAACCAATAGCAGACTCGGTACTTATTTTATCGTATTTACAAGTTGACTCTTGATAAGGGAAATTGGCAGAACTTACTAGAGGGCACACCAAAAGGTGGAGAGGTTGTTTGGAAGGAGCTGAAGCCTTTAGCATTTCCTGCGGCCACTCTTACATAGTAGGGTCTTCCCTGGGTCAGATCGGGAATAGTGACCTCCAGTCGCTGAAGGTCAGGCTTAATGTTTTGAGTAATTTTGAAATAGGTTTAACGCTTTGAGTCAAGTCAAGATAGGATTGAAGCTTTGAGTAAAATCAATATAGGTTTAAAGTTTTATGTCCAGTCGAGATAGCCTTATCTTACAAAAGACCTCTCGGGAAGTAGTATAAATCCAAGAGTTGTTTAAACTGGCAAAACTTGAATTCCAATTATTTATCTTTAGCTTTGGTTGCTATTTTTTTACTTCGACAACTAAACAAATTCAAATCTCAACACATTTTCTCGTCCTTCTCCTTTTCTTGAACTCTAGTTGATTGGAGCCGTCATGAAGATTTCAGTCTCCTAGCGGGATCTCAAGACATTACTGAATTTCAAGTTTCTTTACCGTAAAACTAAACCGCAAATTTATCAATGTTTTAAAATGACCAATCAACAATGCATGCTATATCGTCAGTATAGGTTTATTGCTTTAAGTCAAGTCAAGATAGGCTTAACGTTTTGAGTCAAATCGATATAAATTTGTATGCACAATAAATTAATACTCAGGGGTGTTGGAGTTAGTAGCATGACTACAGTACTTATAACAATCTCTACCAATCAGCATGACTACAGTACTTATAACAAGCTCTACCAATCAGCATGACTACAGTACTTATAACAAGCTCTACCAATCAGCATGACTACAGTACTTATAACAGCTCTACCAATCAGCATGACTACAGTACTTATAACAAGCTCAAGACAAACGTAGTACTTTTCCCGAACAACAACTGTTGTTAAAGTGATTTAAACGAGCACAAGTTTGTTTCTGTGTTACGTGACGTTCCCTAAAAACACCTTGTAAGACACTAACGAACCAAATATTAATGGATTTGTTTTCGAATATTATGAATACAAGAATGTGTAAACACGCGAACATTTATACCAACGGCGGGTGTTATGACGTCATTAATTTCTCCATGGGACCTGAAACAAGATGGTGGGCCTCGAGATTAGATCCTTTCTTGATCACGTGATGTACACTAGCAATATAATTAACTGACAAACACGTGAAATGATAATGTTGCTGTTATACTTTTTTTAAAATAGTCGCAGGGTGTAAGACGTCTTAGTGATGTGGTGTCATATGCGTTTCTACTAAATTTCTAAATAAATTCCCAAGGATTGCCCTCAGTCTTTATAGGACTGTATCTCTATTGTAAGGTGCTGAGAGAATGAATCCACGTTTTCCAGAATGTTCTTCAGCTTCGATTTAGGTAAATCCCTCCCCCCTCGTCATAAAAACAACACATCTGAGGGGACAATATATTTATATAAACCAGATTTAAAATAATTAAAAAAGTAATGTTTTAATATTCATACAGGAAGAATGTTACGATATATGGTAGCAAAACAAGAATGAGGGCCTAAACCTTTTACCATCAGCGGTGTTCTATGTGAGAGCCCTGGTAATCAACGCATGCGCTTTAGTGCACTCCCCCTACCATGTAGGAGGCTTCTGTGCAACACAACTCACTGTTCTGCCCTTTCTCTTTATACACATTCCAATGTCCATGAGCCACCTAGCGTCGAAATATTCTGTAACGTAAAGGAATCACTTTATACTACCATATTCACTTGCAAATCATAGAGGTTCAACTGAATTGTAACAAGGTCACGGGAATGGTCAAAAGCAAGATTTGTATTGAATATTGTTATCAGGGGTCGTGAAAGATCCTCTGTGATAATTATTTTTACGCAAAATCCGTTTAAAAAAAAAAGGGTGACTAAAGGATTTACTGAAACGATACGACGACAAGGCCTAATAAGTAAACTGAAGACAACCGTAAAATGGCTCTCAAAGTCGAGCGATCTTACAAACAAAATGATATTAAAATACGAAGGAGACTATTGATCAGTTTCTTGAAAACAGATCATGCTGTTGTTATTGGTTTTTTTAGTGCAAAGCTACCAACGGGCTATCTGTACCCTGTCCATCAAGGAGGATCGAGTCCCGGATTTTAACATAAAGCCGAAGAGAATTACATTTCGTTTTCCGAGCTTGTTTCTGAAAAAACCAATCAAAGAGGAGACAATATAATTATGGCATCAGATAATCTTGAAAAGTAAATCTAAAAACAAAAACAACAAAAATCTATCATATCTAACTAGTTTTCACATGTTTATCTACGTAGTAAATCTCACCTTTGTATTTCGTTACAACACTGTGGGCATCATTAGTCGTATCAGACTCGCTGATTTTGATCCGAAGAGCTCTGGTTCCTACAACTTCTAACTGCACGTGCTTTGGAGGATCTGGAGGCCCTGAATATTTTAAATGAAACCTTGAAGGGTTAATATGCCTTTTTTTTTTTGGAGGGGGGCACTTTTAGGAAACTTGCAGCTGGATTAAGTTTCTCAGTAAAACAAACAGTTAAGCCTAATTAATAACCTCGTATAAGTTATTGAAAAAAAAAATGATTTCGACCAGAAGAAATTTGTGTTCAGTCAAATGTTGTGAATTTAATAACTTTTATTGATTTTTAAATCTCGGTCATTTTGTTTGTTTTTTTTATTTCGAAACATTCGCACAAAGTTATACGTTGTTTTATCTATACTAGTCGTCCCTAATTTGGAACTGATAGACTATACTCACTAGAGGGAAGACAGCTTGTCAATAGTCGTCCCTAATTTGGAACTGATAGACTAGACTCTCTAGAGGGAAGACAGCTTGTCAATAGTCGTCCCTAATTTAGAACTGATAGACTAGACTCACTAGAGGGAAGACAGCTTGTCAATAGAACCCACTGTCAACTCTTACGCTACTCTAATTTAATAGTGAGATTTGACCGTCACATTTATAACGCAAACACAGCCACAAAGTGTGGAGTGCGTTTTTTGTAGCAACGGGTCGTGAACAAAAATTCCTCGGATTCACAATCCGGCCAACTAGCCACTAAGCCACGTCTGACCGACCGTTGCAGATATAAAATAGTACATTTACAACAAAGGTATGTGAAATTTGCAGACTTAACAACCGAGTCTTAAGAAACAAAGTTACAAAACAAATGTCAACCTACTGATTCGTTCAAACCCATCTCGCATCCGCTTCAAGAGGCGGAGCCGCCGTTGCCATAGTGTCAGCTGCCGTTCCTTTTCCTGAAATGGACATGATAAATACGTAACGTGCTTTGATTGGTTTTTCAATGAAACAACAACAACAACAACAAACATTTATAAATAGATTCAAAGAAAGGTAAAGATCCATTTATCCACAAATTAAGTATTTTTCTAAACTGGTTGTGGATCTAATGACCCCCGTTGGTTACGTGGCTCGTGATATGACACGTTTTACATAAAAGAATGTAAACAAAAATAACTTCACTTATTGCTCCTGGAAATGACTATGTAGATCACACAGAAAATAAGTTATTTCACCCAGTATGTTTGTTTCTCTGCTCAGTTCTTTGTGCTGCGGGTTGTCACAGGAGAACCATGAGATTACTAATTTGATGCAATATGTGATCTCCGCACGCAGCGAACGGCATAAAAAATGTTAATTAGAGGGTAAAGAAAAATTGAAATTATTCGAAATTCTTGTAAAAATTAAAAATGCATTCTTTCAGAAAAAATACATATATAAGAAGCAGAAGAAACGAAGTTTGTTTAAAACATACACAACACGAATTACATTTTAAATAGACAAACTTTAGTTTCATAGTTTCACCTTCAACAGAGCTGTAGACAGACTACCACTGGCAGCCGTGTTGAGGACACACGTGGTCAAGTTCTCTCTGCATCTCTCCGCTTCGTTAACCAGACTGACCAATCGGCTGGTTCGACTTTCTTTTGAAGAAACTAGACAAAAGAAAGCGGCAAATGAGTGCTTTAGATCCTACTGATACAAGAAACTAAAGAAAAAAAAATCTTCAAACAAGGGTATTGAAACTTGATTGTAAATATTAAAATACAACAAATTAGATCGGGGTTGCAAGATTTTTGGACCTCCTTTTATGGACCTTAATAGCTTTAAAATTATGCTGCTATATTAAAACTAACATAAATCAAACCTGTTCTCGATATAGACGTTTATTTACTAGTTACCAATTTCGACAGTTTCTAACTTAAGCATGGAAACATAATTTATGAATGCACGTGCACAACGAGCTCAACAGAACTCAAGACTCGTTTCTCACATCGTTAGCACCGTACGTGCACAAGAATCTCAAAATAACTCAAGACTCTTTACTCACATCATTAGGACTGCACGTGCACAAGAATGTCAAAATAACTCAAGACTCGTTACTCACATCGTTAGGACTGCACGTGCACAAGAATTTCCAAATAACTCAAGACTCGTTACTCATATCATTAGGACTGCACGTGCACAAGAATCTCAAAATAACTCAAGACTCGTTACTCACATCGTTAGCACCGCACGTGCACAAGAATCTCAAAATAACTCAAGACTCGTTACTCACATCGTTAGCACCACACGTGCACAAGAATCTCAAAATAACTCAAGACTCGTTACTCACATCGTTAGCACCACACGTGCACAAGAATTTCAAAATAACTCAAGACTCGTTACTCACATCGTTAGGACTGCACGTACACAAGAAATTCAAAATAACTCAAGACTCGTTACCGACATCGTTAGAACTCAAGACTCGTTACTCACATCGTTAGGACTGCACGTACACAAGAAATTCAAAATAACTCAAGA